TTTTTGACAAAATATATGTTACCTGATGCAGATTTTGATGCTGATTCCGAATATTATGTTTATTTTGCATAAAACTTAAGTTTTAGTGGTTGAAATCTCGATATATGAGGGAAAATAAGGAATTTTGCTGATATAGATTTTCGACCTGATGCCGGATTTTCTGAATCTTTTCGAGTTCATATTTGGATAGAGCACGAAAAACTGCATCGAATTGACATAGTCTCACTTAAGTTCAAAAGCGTTCAGTGCACTAGAAATACCTGAAAAGAGTCTATGGGCTTAGTGTACTGAAATTCTGCTCGTATATCGCATTTTTTGACCTGATGTCGGCCTTTTTGAATCTTTTCGAGTTCATATTCGGATAGAGCATGAAAAACTGCATCGAACTGATATAGTCTCACTTAAGTTCAAGAGTGTTCATTAGACCGAAAACTCCAGAAAGAGGAATGACCATGTTTATTCTATCGAGATTGTGGTCGTATTTCGCTGTAATAAGCAGCTAAACATTTCGGATTGTCCTTATTCATTAAGATTTGGATAGAGCTTGGAACTTTGCATCTAAAAATACTTTTCTAGATCCTGTAGAGACTAATACATGCGAAAGCAAGGTCAAAAACCCGGTTTGGGCCTCGAAATTCGTATATAAGAAAAAATGATCCAGTTTTTCAGCATTACATTTTTGAACTTCGAGGCAGCGATATTCGTGATCAGCATCGTCGACTTGCCAGTTCTAGTTGCCCTTAGGAAAAAAATTTCGAAAAAAATTTTTCGAAACCCTGTGGAGGGGTACAGTGGTCGAAAACCCGGAAGTGATTTTATGGAAAATTAACATGCTAGATTTGTAGTCTATATCGATCTTGTAACACTGATATAGTTATTTCTTGAAAATATCTGGGGTTGAAAAGTAGCCTTATCGCCCCTCCTCCTTTGATAATGTTGAAGTAACCAAATATTCAATGAAAGAGTAAAAATGATCATCAACTAATATTAATGTTTCTAAGGGTAATTTCCAAGGATGGAAATATAATTCTTGCAACTTTGATACATTAGAAAGAGGCATGTTGTAGATAGTTGATAGAGTAACAATGGTTTATGTTCAACGTTTAACAAGATAGAAATGACTGACGAATTTTAAATAAGATAGACGTGGAAACGAGGTAGAGAAAAGATAATAAAATCTAGGGATGTCTCGTGGTCAAATACATGCACTCTACAACATGGGCGAAAACAGTGCAACAAGAAAGAAAAGGGCTTGATAGTTACATATATTTTTCTCAATATTCGTTTCTTTCCTTCTCTTCACGTTCAATTTATTAATTTGGCTATTGAATGTTCAAATTCAATAAGATAACCATGTGCTGCTACACTGCAAAAGCAACGATGTTCAACATAATGGACATAAATGAATATTATGATCAGACAAGCGTATTTTCTTCTTTTCAGTCTAGATCACGTTCTGTATTCTGATAAACATTAAATAGAAAGCAAAAGATCATCTTATTTCCATTTTCATCAGTGAAAACCAATGTTATCGGTCTCACTGAAATAAAGAGAAATACTCTTTTATTCATAATACTATAGGTATTGATGTATCGAGTTTGATTCAAATAGGTTCTAGTTGATCGTCACTCAGAGTTACTTTTGTAAATTTGAACTTTATGCATAAAAAATGATAAGCAGCGAAAGTTAAAAGGTATTAATTGCCTTCACCAGAATACTAATTTAATCTTTGCGAGATATGTGATACAAATATTAAAAGTGTGAAAGTAATAATTGAAAAACATATATCATTTCTCTTGATTCGTGTTTTATATTGTTTATAAATCCAGAATTCATTTTCTTATTCTAGATTTTGCTACACGCACTGAAACATTAGTTATTTAATTATGGCTGCAGCTGTCAGTATCGATGATAATTCTTGTTTACCAGAAAATGTTCTCGAATTAGAAGGAGATGATTTCTATCGATTTACAAAAAGTATGAGTGGTGCATTATTGACTGAAGTACTTAAAATACAGGATATTGATTCAGTTTTTATATTTTTACAAACAAGTGATATTTTTGAAATATTCCAACATGATTCTACAATATTACGAGATTTGAAATCAAAAATAGGTTTCAATTCAAATGATGGCACATTTCAAGTCAAACTTGGTTTAAAATTGCAATACGAATATTTATCAAAATTATTGAAATCAAAATCAGATCAGAAATATACAAAATCATCGTCTCTTACATCTGAAAAGATTGATATACTAATTATATGTACTTGTTGATAGTTCGTGTTATTTCTTCTTAAAATCCATAAATTGAAAAACAATACAAAAGAGTTAAGGCAAAAGCTTCGGGTTCTTTAAGAGAGGTAATGATATCTAATGGCAACATAGTCTATTAAATGGCTTAAAATAGTTTCGTTTTCCGTACTAATCGCTCCTAATCACTCCTAATCATTACTAAACAATACTAATCATTCCTAATCAATAATAATCACTGCTAATCACTTAAAATCATATCTAATCAAATAATCAGCTGTTTCCACCTTGAATAATCTTCTCTTTGATGTTGAGTTATTTGAAAAATTTGTAGACTGTGCTTGTCGCTGAACACAAAAAAATGAAAAAAATATCTCACTTCTTCAGAGCGATTATCAGATTGGGATTAAAAACTTGACTAAGAGCGTTATGATTACGATGCAGATCGAAAACTACAAAAGACTAATCAATCGAAGTCAGGCTCGAGTCCAAAAATGTTGACCGTAGTTTTTTTAAGAATTCCAGTGCAAAACCTGGAAAATTAAGAGTACTTTTATGGAAATATACTAGTTAAAATCTTAATTTTTCGATTTTGTTTTGCGCGAAATCAATGATTTAATAAAAACCAATTCCACCCGATTCCGCCAATTCCTAGTGAAGAATTGGAATTGGCTGGAATCGGAATTGGTGCATCAATAACCCACATCCACACCCCACCCTCACCCTTTTTTGTTCTTTTTTTATCAATTTGTTAAGCTAGATATTTTATCGAGGTTAGTAACTTTTTTATCTTGCTCTAACCGCTATCTATCCAGTATGGCGTCTCTAGAAGAAAATAAATATACATACCTTGTTTTTGCTTCTTCTTTTTTGCACGAAATTATTGTGTTGTCACACAGGTTCTCTCACTGGTGTGTGTTTACGGAGTGTTTATTGCTCCCTTTTTTCTATTCCTCTGCAGCATGCACAGCAAACATGTCTTGATCATTGAAGATAGTCAAGCAAAGAGTGACTTATACTCTGTACAGAAGAAAATATTTTTTGGTTGATGTATTGAAAACTCTGAGTAACACTAAATGAATTGTAATAGTATCGCACTTAAATTATCATCGTTGTTTTTTTTGCCTTGCTTTCTATCGACATTGATGGAATCATGGCTTTATACCCAGTCGAGATTGGTTTCCGAACATGTCGCTACTCTGAGTTTGTATATGGCAAAGACTATTCCAGTTCTTGAGAGTTTGTCTTCGAATTTTCGATCTTTGCGATTACTCATTCTCATTTGATCCTCTTTTTACCATCAAGAGATTGAATCGAGGCGTTAATTGACTCGTCTCCAATTGGGTTATCAGGTAGATATATAGCTATGATTGCCAGATTCTTTTTTGCTTTACAACAGTCTTACTTTTGCTATGATGAAATGATCTGGCATTTGACTTCTCGATCATTTGTGCAATGATGATAAAAATCAATTAGTTGTATAAAAATGATCATCCCATCATGCACTTATTCATGCTCATCTATCACTCGGGATACCCATGGATGAAGATATCACTTCGAGCAAGAAAAAAAATAGACTGATGATGTTTAAATCATTCCGTGTATGAATGGTTAAGTCTTGTATCTGATCTCTTTGTTCCACTAATTAATGGTATTCCCACCATTGTTCTCCTCTTACAACAGCAAGGTGTAAGCTTTCGTTAGAATGAAAATTTCAAAGGAATTGCTCTCAATAATCGGTTACATCACTTTGCAATCAACAAAAACAGATCATTTCAAATATCTACGAACATGGTCTATCTTACCTTCTTCTCAAATATACATTTATTAAGGGTGTGGGTGTGAGTGTGGATAAAGAAGAAATCAACAGCCATACCCACACCCTCATCATCAATGGCAACTCACACGTGTCATTGCTCGAAATCTATCCTTAAAGCGTATTTCGTTGTATCAGAGCAATTTTTCCTATTCAATATTAGATGATTCCTCGTTTTATCACTCTAATTGTTTCGAATGGCTATCGTTTGCCCTATATTGCAATCCGTAAGTCGGTTCCTACAAAAAAATCTCTATTTCAGCAAAACTCATTCTGACGTTGGTTCTGGCCAAAATTAACGTCAAAATGAATTTTCTGAAAGAAATAGGGATTTTTTTTAGGGAGCGATTTAGAGAGTACAATTTAGGGCAAATGATAATCTACCATTCAAGAAGGAATGATTTGCAATCGTGATAACTGGATAACCTTCCATCAACGACTGTTATGCATGGACCAGTCCACCAGTCCTGGCCTGGAGTTGCTGCATCCATAACTACTATATGAAATGCATATAGAGCATGTGTGTTATATTTGAGATTCATGACTATAAAATGCAAAATGATTTGAATTATTCCGATGTAATTCAATCTAGTGTGTTTCTTGTGCATATCATGCATGAAGATCTAAATCTCTTTAATGAATGATTATTTTTGTACTGTGTCGAATGCCATAAATAACCTACCCAGAATGATAAGTCCAAAAATACGAAACGACATCGGAAGCGGCATTAAACGCCTATAAAACGGCTTATTTCTTCCACTATTTTCACTGTGTTGCATAGTAAATTGTCAGCCCATTTTATGAGACGTTTTCACGCTAGCCAACGGCCGTCGTTTTCTTCGACCTGAGTACTATAAAACTTAGAGTTTTAAAACAAAGAATAAAAACTAGCATTCTGAACTGGTTTATATCTCTTCGAGGTGTTGTCAACAAACAATAAAAAGATGTTCTATCAACATCCTTTAAGAATAGTGGCAAGAGAAAAATTTTAAGAATAAAAGAGATCTTATCTATTGTTCTGTTTATCTTTCCCGCCTTGGGCAAAAGAAAAACAAAGAGAATCTCAAAGCATCTCTCTTGGTAGATAAATAATCACGATGCAACACCAGTGTTATCACACTTTATTAGAGAGATAGAAGACAAGATTGATGAGTAGCGCAGATAATGTCATCAGATGACCACAAAAGTTCTGAAGACTCAAAGCGGCTAATGATCATGTTCGATAACTCTATTCAGCGTGATGAGCTAAGTCAGAATTTAGAATTCATTATTTTACAATGAGAGGATATTTTCTCTGTCGACCAAACAGAGTCTAGATCTCTCGATACAAAAAAAATTAATAGAGAAGTGCAAAAATTTTGGATTTATGATTTACAAAAATGTTAGCTTTCATTAAGTCTAATGTATTTAGAAACGATTTTTGTTTTAGAAATCATTCATGCTGTGGTCTCTGTGTTTTACTACCGTTTGGGTGGCTGTATTGTTACCATTCGCTGTTACAACGAAGATCAAGAGCAGTGTCTCAACAAACGAAATGCTCAACCGGGCCGAATTGACGGCATCGAGGATGGTTACCTGTGAATATCAAAGCAACTCAGGATTATGGAAGAATGAGGAGAGATGGCAATCGGGAAATACATTGGAAACATTGGCTAACTTTGTATCTCTATTGGATTCATCATTGAAATATATCTTTCATCAAACATTTATAAATACCGATATGTTTGTCGGCGGCGAGTGTTTCGATGATTATCAATGGTGGTTACTAGGTTGGCTACAAGTATATAGTGTTGAACCAGATATCAACTATTTGTATCGAGCTGCCAATATCCATGACTTTGTCACTGTCAATGCATGGAATGACAGTTTGTGCAAAGGAGGTGTGCAATGGTGTTCAAAAAATACTTATAAAAATGCAATTACCAATGAATTGTTTCTATTAAGTAGTATGCGTTTGCATCCGTATGCATCACTACTGGCTCGACCTCCAACATATTATCTTGACTGGGCTTTAAAAGAATGGCAATGGTTTGAAAGAAGTGGATTGATCAATGGTGATTATTTGATTAATGACGGATTGAGGTATGGAAATTCTGAAACGAGAATAATAGTCATGTTGTGAATTTCATAGGAGAAAGTAGAAAACTTTCTATTCTCTCTATCTCTCTTATTTGTAGTTCATCCAACCAAGCGATCAGCACATCTCATGAAGGAAATCTGGACCGTTTGACAGATGGCACATGTCTCAATAACAATGGAACCACTTGGACTTACAACCAAGGTGTTATCTTATCAGGTTTAGCACTACTATACAATGCAACACGCAATGCCACTCTACTTGATATTGCACAAAAGATAGCAGATGCTACCATACAACGGCTTACCTACTCCGATGGAATATTAAAAGAACCATGTGAACCAAACTGTGACTTTAATCAAAAACTGTTCAAAGGCATCTTTGTTCGTCATTTAGCTTATCTAATACCATACCTTACAGATGCAGCTCATATACAACAGTATCGTTCATTTTTACAACAGAATGCCGAATCTGTTTGGACATCAAGACGTTGCGAAGTTGATGGATTGTATAGTTTGATTTGGAGCAATCAATTCTCCAACAGCTGCGAGCCATCACACAATACATCAACGACATCAGCTGCGTGGGATCTATTCGTATCGGTTGCGAAAACTAAACCACCATCAATCAGATCGTCATCGAACTGGACGTTACTGGGTCTAGGCAATTGCATGGATGATAAAAATGCTAGTATGCCAAACTTTAACAAAATGAATGTCACTGAAACTGTATGTCGTACGACAGCAGAACAAGACCAGGGTGCCGTTGCATATGATCATCAGGTGATGTGTAATGGCTTTCAATATTGTCGGATACGAACACTGTCTGATCCTTCTCACGCACCTCAAGGATGGTCTTATGAAAATGGTACAGCCCGAAATGTGACACAGACAAATAAATTCCCAGTGTCAGGCTGTTTTTTAAGACTAGTCTAGAGTGGATCGTTCGATGGACCGAAAAGTACTGAACAATGCTGCTTGATTATATGCATAATATATATGCCACTATGATTCTAATAATAAACTTCGAAGGCAACAAATCACGTTCATCGGTGTAGAGCTGTATTCTGAACCGATTGATCTTGAAAGGCATCATTCAAAGCAACGCAGTTCAGTGAGGGTGCGTGTGAGT